TGTGTGTGTGTGTGTGTGTGTGTGTGTGTGTGTGTGTGTGTGTGTGTGTGTGTGTGTGTGTGTGTGTGTGTGTGTGTGTGTGTGTGTGTGTGTGTGTGTACTCTCTGAGAGTTTCAAGCATATTTTTGAGTACTAGTATTTGTTCATGAAACACTGCGTTAAGCTATTCATTGACGAAGCATGTACCCACTGGGGCAGTCAGGTGCAATTTCCAAGTATTATATTGTGATCGCTAAGACTTGAGCATGATTTGTATACAATGGCTTGAAACACCTCCCCCTTAAGTTGATCACTGGAATATCAACTACGATTTCGGACATTCTAGCCCATATTTATTACTGGAACATACCCTTCAATACTTGTGGCAGAGTAGATACCCTCTGCTTTATTCGAGCACATTCAAAAAAACTAAAACATGTTTCTAGATGGTCCGGCTCGGTTCTTAATATTAACTATACTTTTCTTTTTAGAAGATCTGCTCGTAAAAATAAGGCAAAGGGTGTGGTGCCCTCGTGTTTCACCCTACACGAAGTCGCGTAGTGCATCTGGTAAAGATCAGCGCGCACAGAACTGATATTGACCAGCTGTATGTCGATAATATGCTAGAACGATAGCACCCTAGACGTAGGCCACATATTATTGCAAGTAGAGATTTCACACCTATGTAGGTACATCTATACACCTTCGAAGTCGACTGTGTTCCTGATGCAGTGCAAATCATACAACTCCAGTCACTAATGGAATATGCAAAAGGTCAACGCTACAAACGGCAGGACTCCATACACTTGCAAACTCGATGAAGTTGAATCACTTTTAACTTTATTCTGGCATCGTCTTTAGTATTAGTTATTAGTTTGACGGCCCAAACATCTGCGAGTGTGTGTGCCTCTGTTTGTGTGCCCTAGCTCATTTATATGTGTGTATGGGCGTATGCGCCAATAGAGCGTGTATCTATCTGTAGTATATATAGAGAGAGCGAGCCAAGCAAACTCACTAGATGTACTAGCTTAAAACTACAAGTCACGCTACCACCATCCATGCAAGGGCAAATAACCACGCACAACGCGAAGCACATACATACCCGCACGGAGTGATATTGCAGCCACATGTGCGACAACGAGTACATAGTGACGGTGCTTGTCTGATATGGCATTATATATCACAACCGCTCATTCAATTATATATAAATCTGATCGAACGAACAAACATATCACTTACATCGGGGTGGTATCCAAAGAAATCAACTCCGGACACAAACGATATGTGGGACACTGTCCTCGGTTTCATGTCCTTGAAAGAGTGAAAGTTGGCATGCCGATTGATATCTACTATTAGATTGTCTCGAAATTCGGCGGCCTTTTCAGAATCGTACGTGAAGACCCCGTCATTCACTTTGTTAAAATCTACGTACAAATACGGGTGTTTTCTGTGGTTGTGGAAAACGTACCAACTGTGGTCAGATGCACAACCTACGATTGACCATGGTCTTGAAGCATCGAATTGCAAACAACAGCTAACCATGCGCATAACCATGCACATTTACTCGCATGCGTATAAACAGTTGTCCATATACATAGTTTGTGTATTGTGAGATTTAAATAGCTATTCAAAGTCTTTCCGAGCTCCCACTTACCCGTGCACATGTAAGCAGCACTTCTGATTGGCTGGGGTCGATCCAAACACCCGGATCACGGGAACCTGCAACAGTGTCGCCGGAGAAGGGTGTGGAAAAAAATGATGGTTCTTTGTCATGAGACGCTTAGCTCACAACCACGTACCGCGTGCTAGTGAATGGACACCATATTCCACTCTGAGGTGAAAAAGGTCTTCGGCTTTGAGTAGTCTCGATCAACTGGGGCGAAAAAGCCCTCCAGGTCAATACAGGAGATGTTCACCACTATTCTCATCCTGTAGCGAGCCATCAATCCTCGCTCAGATTGATACGTTCGCACTCAGTCTGAGTTGTTTCTGACCGTCAAGGTATGTGCTATTTCACGCTTGCTGCGAGCACCGCTTTCAGAGAGGGTGATTTTACAATTTGAATGTGCAACATGTACTTCGCACTCGTGAAATTGATGTGATGGATACACCAGCAATAAAGGGACTACTATGCGACCGTTCAGTGTAATGAATACAGCATTACATTGTATGTTCCATCATTTGAGAGTTCGAGATGATAGAACTGCTTAGGTTAGAGCGTCAAACCGTTCTGAACGGCGAAAGAATAGATCTGACATGCATAGACTGTGCCTTGTAAGCTGTTCAACAATATCTACCATATCTACCATATATATATATAAATGTGTGTGTGTGTGTGTGTGTGTGTGTGTGTGTGTGTGTGTGTGTGTGTGTGTGTGTGTGTGTGTGTGTGTGTGTGTGTGTGTGTGTGTGTGTGTGTGTGTCGTGTGTGTGTGTGTGTGTGTGTGTCGGTG